TCAGTTGACGATCACTTGCTAATGAAGATTGAATCAAGTTATCGATGGCTAAGTTATTCGACATGGTTGATGATTAGAAATTTCAAAGTACAGGTATTAGTATAGACTCTCGTCACATTTCTGCGGCAATTCCGACAGGTATTACAAAAATTTCAGGATCGTCCAATGACTCATCACACCGCATCGCACCGCAGCATTATTATTATGATATGTATTTGTCACCATTGTATTGCGAGAGCCGATATCGATTAATTCATATGCCCATACCGACAGTAGTAGGGTTAGTAAAACCTGAAGATTTTGCCAAAGCTTGACTTTTTGATTTATATGACATGACTAAAGTGACGCATACTTGAACGATGCCTATGCTAGTGAAACCATTAAAGATAGGCTGCACCGTCCAAATATTAAAGGAAATTGTAGTGAAGGAAATACGCGTTTACAGTAATTTTTCATGTAGATCTTCGCGGGGACTCTTAACTATATATCTTATGAATCCACTCACACCTCTGAGGAAGCTATTTTATAGTCGACAGTCTCTTGTCATTCCTCCCTAAACGTTTTTCCACCTCAACATCAAAAGTCATCAACTTTGTCATAATAATAATGACGATGAGACGTAAACGAGTCATTCTTTTTGAAGATACATAATAAATAATGTCATTATAAAACACAGGGATGCTAGAGTTCGTATAACGTCCTTTCGTCGTATAGTTATGGCCATTTAACCAAGAAAAGCATTTCTACGCAAATCTCTAATCAGTTACTTTCAGTTCTATTCTCTAGCAGATGTTTCGTTTAGCAATTGCGATTTGGTTAATCAAAATATCGAGCGATTATTATTCCGTTATATATGTTTAAACTAATACTAATGCAGATAAGCTAAAATTTTAGTTAATGTACTCGTAGTTTCCTTGACAATAAATACATGTATAACGTATACAATGGGCCACGTAAATATTAATGTGAGTATTGTGAACGCTAATAACGGTATATGAGCTATTCAATCCAGTAAAAAAAAATTCAACCTGTAATACGCAAAAATTTGTTTAATTTCGATAACACATACGCAATATTTTTAGTGACATCATCCATTTAGTATTATTAACAAGTTACTGAATTTATTCATAATGGAGTCATGGAAGAATATAGACAATGAATATAATACGCATATACAATGGATCGAATACTATTTATTGGTAAACAATACGAGAGATGACATTACTACTTCATGTATGAAGTCTAGTAATTTCAATTACAGTATCAGCGATTGTGATCGTAAACAAACTATTTACAGATCTTTAAATTGTGAGAGATTGTACTTTATACTTTGCGGTGAAATTTAACGTGCGTATAGATGACAGGTAAAGTTATGGCATTTTGTGGTTGTATCGTTTACGGTTTTTGAAATATTTGCGATTTTGTGGTTTTTGATTGATCAACCTTTTACATTGCCATTAATTTTGAACGGGATTTAGCAAACAACAATCATTCTAATTTCCTTGTTTAGTGTTTGCATTATTTTTTACTTTTTAAAGGGACTTTTGTCTCGCAATGAATATCAGTTTGCTGTGTGTTCATATGCAATTTACAAACAAACATGGACATTCTAGCGGGGAAATCAAGCCACAGGCACGATTACACTCCGACTATCACTTAAATGGGCGGTAATTTCTCCCTCTTGAAATTCTAACCCAGAGATGGTTATGTGATTGTGGGGAAACTTTGCGGATTTTACTGTAATGGGTTGGAGAAATACTTTTTTTTTGTGATTAAAAATCAGTATAATGTATCGTAAGCGGAAATATAAAAGCAATCACGTGATGCATGACGATCATCAAAATCTAGTACTAGGTGAAATCTAGACGAAATAATGGGTTGGGGTAGTGTAATTCATGGCAATCATCATAGTCTAGATGAAATGACATGTTGCGATCAGCGTAAAAGAAAAAGATGACGCAAACATGAATTAAACCTTTTTTATTGTCTACGAAAAACCTGGAATAATGTAAATGGTAGGATTTTCATTCAATGGGAGTATTGTTTTTTGTTTTGTTTTATTTTTTAGTAAGTTCGTGTAAAAAAAAACCTTGGAAGTTTTAATACAGCACACGATAGACGCAACATCTTATAGAGATGAATGAGTATTAATCAGTCAGATAGGCTATCAAATAGGAAAATAGCGTGTTAATAAATGTCATATGTAAAGAAATATACTTTAAACAGTAATGGTTTCAAATAGCAAAATACCAAATTTATTTTCTTTTTCTCGTTTTTTTACAACAAAGATTGACAAAGATTATAAAAAGCGCTAGTCTTCTTAGGGTGGAGGGTGGGAGTGGGCGGTACCTTCAGTACCGTCCCATACCGTAATATTAATATACCATATAACTATGATATAAAAATGGCCGGACAGAATCTACATTAAAATTATGGAATTTGGGTATTTGAAGGTTAGTGCAGAATCCAGTTTAGGAAATAAAGCGCTGACAGAACGAATGGCAAGCGAAGAAAATATAAAATACGTGCATGAGCGTGCACCAGGAGACAGCGATGAAAATGTAATTAGCGTTAAATTAGCGTTAATAAACATCGCTAGCCAATAAACATTAAACCTGTAAATTTTGTTCACACAGCATATTACTTTACCTGATAATCTAACTTTACTACAAGACGCCAGTAACAACAACGAGAGCAACGAGCATGTAAACCATGTACGACCAGTTTTGTAAGTTTTGCACATTAAAGAATTTAAGACGTCGATAACAATGATATGAATAAGTATTTCTCTATGTCTCATGACATATTTGGTTAGAAAACAAGCAACGTCCTTACAGTAAGTATAAATTAGAGCATAAACCCTTACGTAAACGACATTGTCATTAATACTGCTTTTCGTACACACATCCCAGAGATCAGAATATTTTTCGTGTACGAAGCTGGCTATGAATCAACGTTCTAAATCTACTACTTAATCAAATCGTAACAATATCACTACTGTACAGCGCATACCAATCACTATGTATCTGGTATTTGATTTCCTGTCTACAGTAAAAAAAGGCAAAAATTATGTTCAAATTTTCGGAAAGAATTGTAATATGGCATCAAAAACTTTCGCATAACATCAATACCGTATATCTTTCATAAATATCGAATACAAATAATTTATACTAATTCATGTAATTACGTCATTTTCCTTTTCAATAATGGTACGCAATATCTTAATTAAATTTTATAGTATTATGGTTTCTAAAATTAAATATTATGGAAAAGCAATAATAAACTTACCATTGACAAGTATGATACTCGTGCACGTGTAATCAAAACAACAAAAATTCTCGCAATATCGTTACACTATAAACACAGATTGTATAGACACATTTTATACAAACCACTCTCAACTGTTTAACAGAAAAACTCTGATAACTCGTATAATGACCCCAAGCCAACGCATTAATAGTTTCTGCCGATAGTACTATTCTCATCTTTTCTAGTTCCCCCATTTCACTTGAATGAAGAGTAAGCGTGGAAAAAATATAGCAGAAAAAAACCAACTTTCTACAGTATTGATAAAAACATTTCAAATATTACATAACATATTACATAAAACATACCACAGAGAATTAGTGCGGTATGTACGATTTTGTACCTTATCTTATGTTACGACTATAAGTTGAGAGAGTCGGCTTAGTTGAGATAATCAACATAGAACATGTGCAACTGTTACACACTTACGTGTATCATATTACATCACACATTACACAAGGCTAGTCTTTTATAAAAGGGTCCGGAGTCAAAGATCCGTATAATCCAGCAATTCACAAATTGGTTCAGACCGCTGCAAAGGGGCATGATAAACGACTGGAATGGATTCCTTATTGTGAAATCACTGGCTTTAAGCCAAGCCAAATTGACACTATTCAATACGCCGTTTGCCACCATGAGACAAGATAATGTTGCTAGCACATCAGCCTAATTTGCTCACTTCCGACATACAAATACAATAAGAAAGCCAGTCAATTTAGACGACATTACAGATAGCTTAGCCGGCGCAACAAATTCATACTTGGGTTTACCAAGTCCAATGACAATAACTATTACATGGCTCTTTTATCATTGTTATCTCGATATGGATTCTGCACTGCGTGCGGAATACTTCGATGTAGTCCCGTGTGGTGCATATGCGAGCATAAACAATTATCCGATGGATGGACTAGCAATGACAAGCAACTCGATGAGTTTATTAAGAAATCTCAAATACAAATGAACTCTGCAAACGATGCCTATTGGAATGGATTCCGCATGATTGTATTGAAGATGGAGGATACGGATATGGATATTCATATGGTCTACCTACGTTTACGTCTTTTAAATCGATCCCGCTTACAAACGGTAAAATTCCGAGTAGGAGAACAGGTACTCCTCTACGGACCTAAACAAACGAAGTTAGAAACGACGGCAACCGACCCATTCAGAATCAGAAAAGCAAATAAGTACAACTCAGATGAACTAGAATTGCTCAATGGAACGCCATACCTCACAGTCACCGGCACAAGGATATGGCACTATAAGGATAGAAGTGGTAATGTCCATGTGGATATATAGGGAGCCGACATGGATTATTCTCAGACTTAGGAAACGTTTCCCGAAGTGACTAGTGTTACCTGATGGCATACGCTATGTTTCAGTTGGCAGATCGGAACTGGCTGAGAAGTGGAATTGTATAAGACTTAGCGATTTGGAACTTGATTATAATATTTAGTATATCTATAATTAGGCTGAAGCAACTCGACTCGCTGTCATAGGGTGGGAATTTCACAGCATTCAAACTCTATCGCACATGGCAAGAAATGGCGGGACTTGGTTATAATTTTTAACGAATATTACAACATCAACGTTCCATTTGAGCCCAAGGACTTAGAGCAAACCTCTGCATCGACCAATGGACAATCATGCAATGACAAATCCAATGCCATGGATACTCCACTTACCTTTCCTCCATGGACCAACATATTAATATACCCATGAACGAATTGATTATGGAAACCATGTCAAGTATGAGCTCTGAGATGAAGGAGATGTGGTCTTTGATTGTGAAGCTGAAGAAACCCTACAAATGTGGGAGAACATCAGAACAGACCAGTGGTTATAATCAGCCGCAACACAGTGACAAGTGGACAATTTGTGTACAACCTTAAGACCCCCAGAGGATTAGACTTGATGTCATACCACCAATACCCCAAATACAAAGGCCACATGTCAATGGCCATGACTCTGAGAGCATACCAGAACTGAGGAACAATCCACAGGATGTAATGCCTGTACCAGAGTTGGATTATCTGGCAGTGCAGTGGAATGAGCCATATTATCCATGGATCTGACAGTGAGTCAGATAGAGAAAATAGCAGTGGCTACACCAAGCACAGCAGTGACAGATTCAGGATGATCTGGGAAGTTATACCCGAAAGAATGAACCAGCCCAATACAGTATTTCTAGATTGGACAGATATGAATCAACTGGGCAGATGATGAAGAAAATGGAAGACCAGAATGTATGAGAGATTCTGGAATATGACTTTGGAGAAGAGATAGCAACATCAGTCAATCAGAATACATACCAGGAAGTCCAATGCCAGACACCAGAAACAGCAATGACAATAGCAACAACCTTGATGGAATCACTCCATAACCCTACACCATCTGGATTGGAGAAGATGAACATGACTGATCAGACCACAATAGCCCTTTCTATGGAGGAAATCGACCAGATATTGAATACCCTATCTATGAGATTGAATGCAATGGAAGGATCATTAAGTACAGTAGTGGTGGAAAATAATGAGAATTTTAAATTTTTTATTTCTCAACCAATTTGTATTCATTTTACATAAAATTTGGTCTGCACAT